AGAACTGGGGTTGTAGGGAGACTGGGGACACAGCATCCAGGCATAAGGCTGAGCAGGGCTGCCTATGTTGCCTTCCTTGGGCAACAAGTTTGCTGCACTTGTTCTATGGATGGTGTTGTCCTTAAGCAACTGTTCAACTTTTCTGCTTGGCAGCAGCTGTGTTTAGCCTGGAGAGTGGCTCGAGCCCTGGCAGATAAGACAGCACTGAGACGTTTTGCAATCTCTCAGCCCTTCAGATTGTTGTCGGGAAAAACCTCAGAAGGACCCCGTGTCATCAGTGTGAATTTAGAAAGCGGTTGCAGGAGAAAGATTGTTTGTGGGGAAAAAAACCAGACAAACAGGAACAAATTGCCCTCAGCTCTGCAAGATTAGTGCTTAGGGGCTCCAGCACTCCAGCAGCAGAATTGAGAAGGACCACAACCTTTGCGATGGTTTTTGGTAATATATTTAGTGAAACCAGGTGTGAGCGCCTGCTGGGCTCCTGCCGTGCTCAGGAGCGGCTCCCCCAGAACGCAGCAGAGATTCAGGCAGGGTTGTGCTTATCCTGCATCCCCATCCTCATCTCCGGGCTGCTGTAGGAGCCGCAAGAGGGAGCTGCGGGCTTTGCCTGCATCTCCCCCGGCGCTGCAGAGGCGCACGGTGGTGCTGTTGTCTCAGCCATGGCAGAACCTCCAAGGGCTGAGGGGACACAGCCTGTGGGATAGGGGACGAGGAGACCCCACCGAGCTGGAGCCGGGTGTGGGGTAGGACTCAGCTCTCACGATGTGGTGCCTCTCCCAAATCCGAACCCATTTCCAGCCCTGCTTCAGGTCCCTTCCAACCCAAGTCGCGCTAACTCATGGTGGATATCCTCAGGGAGAGGAAAGTGGGTGGGGGTGTCCCCATCCCAGGGGAACACTGCTGTGCCAGGTGGCAGGGAAGGGCTGGCTCACACAGAAAGCTCCAGCCTGCGTTTGGAGAAAACTTTCCCATGGAAGATCCCCTGACACTGCTGCGTTCCCACCAAGAGCTTTGATTTCAGTGTATCGGCATTTTCCGATGAGAAACCAGCTCATAGGAAAATTCCCAACGAGCAAAGAGAAACTCCCCAGCGTATCAGGAGGGATGCTGTCGGGGGAAGAAACATAACACCAGCAGGGTCGTGTGTTTAGAGGCTCCGGGTAAAGCCAGATAAAGCACGGAAACCACGGAGTCCTGCAACGGAGCTGCACTGGCTTTGCTCTGTGCCTGCTTTCCCAGGACTTCTCTCCTGGTATTTCTGTCACCAGGATGCTGGTGCTCTGTGTGCAGGCAGAGGGTGCAGTGTGCATGCAGAGCAGAGGCACAGCAGATGGACCTGTTAGGGGTGTGGATGTAATGGGTGTGCAAACTGAAGCCCCAGTGGCTTGCCTTGCCTTGGATGGGGCATGAGCTAGGAGAGGAACAAGGTGATGTGAGAACCCAGCATTTAGCTCATGTTGCTTCTTGTCTTTCTTACGACCACTGATTAACCTCAGGTCCTCACAGAGGGACATATCCACTCCAGTGGAGTTAATGAGGCTGCAAGGAGTGGGATGAGAGGGACAAGCACTTCCCCTCTCTGCGCTGGACCTCACACACTTGCTATCCTCAGTGGAATAGAAGAAGTCAAGCAGGAGGCTTGAAACCACAATTAAGGTTATTTAATCCACCTCTCTCTGCCCAGGGGCTCCTCTTCCTGCACCGAGCGAAATGCTATGGTCACACATCAGCTTCAGGAGGGTTGCACAGGAGCTTCTGCAGGACTTTGCCCAGCTGGCTTTAAGATGACTCTTTGGAGAGAGCTGTCAGTGACCTCGTAGGACAACACAGCTCATCCCTCAGGTCCTGTGGTGGAGAGCATCCCTCCCTGGCACAGCAGGCCGCCCACCAGGCACCCAGGACCCTCACCCCATGCCTTCCCAGTGGCTGTCTCTGTGCAGCAGTTTGCGAGTCCCTCTGCGAGGCCTGTACTTCTCAGATGTTATGTCTGGAAGTTGGCTCTGTTTTTTTGGCTTGGGGGCCCAGGGTCTGAAAGCAGAGAGGCTTTTATGGGAACCCAAGTCCCCTTTTGACACAACTTCCTTGTGCTTAAATTTCAGGTTGAGTTACAGGCTTGAACATTTTCTGGTTGGATATCTTTCATTGTCAAAGGGGATTAGGCCAGTGATTATTTACGTGCACCTCTATTACACAGGGCCTGTTTCTTTTCTTTTCTTTCCTTTTTTCCCACATCGTTCTGCGTAATGCGTAAACAGTCCCATAGGTGGAGGGAAGAGAGTGAATGAGGCTCCTGCAGTGCAAGGTCCAACATCCCTGAGCTGGGAGATGCCTCAGGGCTGCTTCGATGTCTGCAGGGAGAGCATCGCCATCCGGCAGCGTGTTGGGTTGGTGTGTGGCACGAAGGGCCGTGGTTTGCTCTGGGGTGGCTCCTTTGGAGCTTTGGCTCCTCCGCAAGAAGTGGGGATATTTTTCAGGACCCAACATGCGTGCGTTTTAAAAGAGATTTTTGATAGAAGTCCCATTTACTCCTTTATTTGGCTTGGGAGGCTGCAGTTGGAACAGATTTCTTTACATATCCTTGAGTGTTATTTGATTAAGGTTATGACTGCTAATAAACACTCAGACTCTATTCCCCTTCCCCACCACTTGCAGCTCAGGACAGCAATGCAAGGCCTGAGGTGCTGATTCTGCTCCCCTTCCATCGGCACATCGGTGTGCTGCTCACTCCAGGGAAAATCGTTCTGATTTATTCCAGCTTTATAAAGTAAGAGAAAATAGGAATGGGAGGAGTGCCAGGAGTGATTCTGGCACGATAACCAGTTTATTTCCCTTTCCTTCCCCGTGCCATTTACAATCACAAGTTCTTCTATCAAACAGCTAGGAGCAGAGCAGACGTTGCCCAAGAGTCAGAAGAACTGAGGCTGCAGGATGAAACTGACACAAACAAAACCCTGTTTAGGGGGTGCTTAGGGGGCTTTTAGGGGGTGGGTGAGAGAAGCAGGTTCTGCTTGCGAAGGGAGAAGGCAGGAAGAAAGCAGGGAGCCCAGAGGACTCTACCTGCCACCTGGAAAATGCGTGTGCTCCCTGCTCACACCAGGCATTGCTGCCCTCGGTTCCCTGGAGGCCTTCATGCCTTTTTCCTGGACGTCAAGCACAGTCTCTCCTCAACAGTCATAATAAGTCTTACGCGGTGCAGCACACTAATGAAAAGCTGTGTGGGCTAGTTCCTAATTACAACCATCAGTTAAACTGTCAGAGGGAGCTCCCAGCCTCAGTTGTTGCATTATTAGACTTCGGGCCTTGATGAGCTGCAATCAAGCATGAAAGCATGACCAGGGCAGAGCCAGGGAGGTCTCTGCTCTCCACCGAATGGTGGCAGCTGAGAGCCAAAGGAGGACACAAGCCCCATGGGCACACCCTGCCCCCTTTCCGTGCACCCTATGCTTGCTGACTTTGTCAGGCTTCAGCCTTTCGAAGAGACCGTCCTGTAACTGGTGATGCCCCATCCCTGCAGGCACCCAGAGTCAGGGGATGAGGCTCTAAGCTCCTGATGGAGCTGTGTGTATCCCTGTGCATCGCAGGGAGTTGGACCAGGTGGCCTTTAAGGTCTCTTCCAACTCAAATCATTCTATGAACTCAGCCTTTTCACCATAGGCTTCCTGCCTTTGCACATTCAACTGTAGACATCCCATTTCAATACACGTTACCCAGGGAGGAGTTCATATCACAGTGCCTTTCAGCCACATCTGGATTTGAAGTGCCCCACAGGATGATGTTTGGGGACTCTTCCTCCACTCAGTGGTCCCTTTAAATTTCACACTGGGCCCAGTGGAGAAGAGGCATGCAGATGGCAGGGCTTAACGACAACAGCACCGGTTTATTTGAACTAGGGTCTTTATGGAAAGACGTGTTTGTTTTCTCAGACCACACGTTATTAACTAATCTCTTGACTTTGTTTTTATAGTCGCATTGTGAGCAACTTCCTACTTCTCACCCCCTTCATCCATCAAAAAGTCTTTGGCTTGTAAGTAAGGCGTCCCACACCAGGGATAGATTTCCATCCCTTTCTGCTCCCTTCTCTAACAGAAAGAAGCCCTCCTTCCAGCCAGAGCATCGTCCTGGAATGTCCTCAGATCTTTGGAAATGATCATCTCTGAATTCCATCTTAGGGAATTCAGACTGAGCAGTCTCATTTTTGCTGTTGGCACTGCAGTGCTGCGCAAGAGCCATTGGCAAAGCTCAAACGTTGCTGTGGCGAGGAAGGGACAGGATTTGGGGCTGCAGACTCTTCTCACTGGGTTTCACCTGCGACTTTCACAGAGAATCTCCTCTGATCACTCCCAGCCTTCCCCTGACAAACAGAAATCTGAAAAGAAACAGCCTGTTCAGGAGGGATCTCAGGGGTCGGGGGGCTCTGCTGCATAGACCCACACAGCTGTTAATCACCAGAATATCTCTGACTCCCAGCAGCTGTCTGCTGTTTATCTGAGCCGGGATATCCACTGGCTGAGCCTGCAGAGAGCAGGCTGTGCAGCCAAACCAAACACAAATGGAAGACAGATAATTTGCACACGATGGTGTGCACGTGTGTTTGGTGCACGCACACACAGGCTTTGCCCACGTCCTGCTGCTGTGGCTGGGAAGCATAGAAATACAAAGTTTGCTGAGTCTTGCAGAAGCAGTGGCTCAAATTGCATCTAGAAGAGCTCCCCAGGACACCTGTGGGGCTCATAGAGTAACCTGTCCCACCTGGAGAAGAGTAATCATCTGTCCTCTCAGGGCTGTGAGGGTTGGGGAGCTGATATAAGTCAGGCTGAGCTGAGGCTGGCTGCTTTTTGGTGGAGTGGTTGGGCAAGGCAGTGCTCTGGGTATGTTTGGTGTCGGTGGGAGGGTTGGGGGTGACAAAGGAAGGCAAAGCCTTGAGGAACAGTAGGGAGGTGGTGGGCATGTTATGCCTGGGTCTTTTGGAAGGCTTACAGCTTTTTTCCTTCTGTTCCCAGGTTCCTTCTGTAGCGGCCAGATCATCTTGAGCATCAGGCAGCAGTGCTGGCTGGATCTCGGATGCTGTTTGCTTGGGTAAGGTAAGGCTTGGTTGAACTTGTTGGTTGGTGGGAATAGATCTGGGTTTCTGTTAATGTAGCTGTTGTCCAGGCCAGCACTAGGCTGGCTTACTGAATTGTGAATTGTGGTGCTTCCAATTGGCTTTTATTTACCTCTCGGTTGGCTGTTCTTAAGTGTTCCTTTTGGAAAACTTTGGCTTACCATCATCTGAGGCTCCAAGGTGCCCTGGGCACTGTGAAAGCAACAGGAGCTGCTGCTCTGAGGCTGAAACCTTGCTGCTCCTTACTCTGCTTCCTCCAGTGGCAGTTGCCAGGACGAGCTGCAGTGCTGGCTGCTGCAGGCTGTGCTCTTTGCTAGGTGGGAAGCTGGAGGATGGTGCTGAGCTGTGCTTTGGGCTGTGCAATGAGTGAGGGCTGTGCATTATCTATCCCCTGTTCACCTCTCGCTCTCTGAGTACAGTGAGTGCTTTGCATGGAAATTGTGTAACAAAGGCCAGAATGTCTTCCAAAGCAGTTAGGCTTTCTTGGCTGTGAATGCCCAGCTTTCCTCTAGCTCTGACTCTGCTATTTATCAATTAGCTTGCTCCAGATCCTGGGAACAGCTACAGCTGTCCTTCAGCCTGCAGCACCCACTTCCTTCTGCCTTACCTCATCCTGCAATCGCTGTCCCACAGGGCACAGCCTGTCCATCTGTCCTCCTTTCTGTGCACACATCAAAGCCTCAGACGATGAAGGAATGGAAGAAAAAGAAACTGGTTGCCCAAAAGCAGTGTTTGGGCAGAGATAGGCTTGTGCTATCCCACCTGGTGGCAGCAAGCTTGTTCTGTGGGAAGAGGTGGTACAGGGAAACGAGGGCAGCAGGCTGTCAGGATGCTTCTGCTGGAGACTTGGCAAGGAACAGCAATCTCAGAAGAGGTTGGAGAAGCTCCTGCTCGCACTATTGAGGGCAGAGCCTTTGCTGTAGGTGAGAGATCAACTTGTCCAAAGGGAGAGAGCGGCTTTCTGGAAGGCAGAGGACAGGAAGGGAGGAGTTCATCTGGACCAGACTCCTGACTAGCTAACAGTCAGCTGTTCCTTCATGTGCTGAGAGGATGTGGGAGCCCGTGGGCTTGCTGAAACGTGTGCAATCAGTGCTGCTTCTGAAGAGTCAAGAGTCCCCTGCACAGCAGAGGTGAAGCCCTGTTCCTTTCCCTTGTGCTTAGCCCACATCCAGGAGAGGCAGAACTCTGGGGATGGCCGCACAACAGGGTGGGGGCACTGCCCTGCAGGGAGTGAAGCTGGGGAGGGTTTGTGCTGGAGGAACTCAGTACAGAAACACCAATGTGTTTCAGGGAGATGAAGGTGCATGCAGCTCCAGAGGCATCCTGGTGGCAGGCACATCCTAGAACTGTTATCTTGGTTCATTTTTTTCTTGCAACCTTATTTCCAGCTTTGTAACAGGGAGCATAACCTCTAGCTCTGCTTCATCAGATGTGCCTGCAGCAAAGCTAAATAGAGCTGACAGATCAGGGCTCTGCTGTTTCTCTGGAGCTAGTGCAGCACAGAGGAGGTGTGGAGGCATGTTGTAGGGGTGCTGATTTTTAGGGTGCATCTGAGCATCCCAGAGGCAGAGATTCACCTAAAACCTTGAGGGAAATTCCCAGAGCTCTGTGCTGTGGCTGGTATCCCACGTGAGCAGGAGGTGTAGAGGGGGAGCAGCCATGCTGTGCCTCCCAGATGCTGTGCCAGCCAGCAAACAGGGAAAGTGGGACAATAGCATGATTGCCTGGGAGTGGCTTCAAATTGAAATGGGCTGCAGGGCCCCATGCTGCCCTGCCACAGAGGGGCTGCAGGGCCTGCCTTGAGGGCTGTGGAGCAGCAGTAAGGTGATACACTGAGAAAAAATTGTTCTTAACTGCCTGAGTGCTGCTGCTCTTTCTCAGCTTCCCACGCAGTCCTGTCACCAGCAGCAGCTGCCATGGCATTCTGAGCCCCATCCCAGTCCCATGTGCAGAGACAGACCTCTGCTCCTGCCTTGCTGGGGTCAGCTGTGTCCCCAGCACTTATGTCCTCTTGGGGACAGCAAGCCACAGTTGGTTTGACTGCCAAAGCTGCTATCAGTGGGGTTCCTGGGCATATTTGCCTTTCCAAATCCCATCTGTCTTGCCAAGCTATTGAGATTGTGCTGTTCCTGATGTCTGTGTTTGGTGAGCAGTTCCATCCCCTCAGCATCCCTGTGCTGATGCTTGGTGTCACTTGAGGACGGCTGGGAGCCCACTCTGCAAGTCACCATGGGGAAACAATATGTTTCCACAAACATAAGCATGGGCATCACTGCCTTCTTTGTGCTCTCATTTAAACAAAAATGGTTCCTGTGGAGTTTCAGGGGGCAGTAAGTGGCTGTAGCCAAACAGGGTTTTTTGTCTGTTATCCATAGAGAAGGCTCTGGGTTTGATTTGAGCTTGCAGGTTAAGAGCTTGGCAACTCTTGGAAGCAGAGACTGCATAAAATGTAAATGCTTACAAGGCCCTGCAGGCTCCCAGCTCACACAGAGCAGCACTGGGGTGTCAGCAGGGCTCTGCAGCAGCTGAGGGTTTCACACTGCAGCCTGCTGGCCTCGCGCCCAGCCGGGATCCAGGTCACTTCCATCGACCTGAGCTGCGTTCTAAACAATCACCTAGGTGTGAAAAAATCCACTGCCTGCTCCCTGGGCTCTGCACTCCCCACCCATTGTAGTTTTTAAACTGTTCCTAATGAGCTGTCATTTTGGCCAGGGCTGGCTTGGTGACTTGAGGATCGCTGTAACAATGAGACCACAGTGGGCAGGCAGAGGGGACGGAGTTGAGGGGCTTGCTGCAGTTTTATGTTTTTTTTCCCCTGCTCGCTCTCTGCTGCAGTTGTTTTGAGTGGTGCAGTGATTTCTCACAGCTGGCCCTGCTATCATCCTGCTCATGTTGCTCTGTGCTGAGGCGAGGAGTGAGCTGGGGGGACTTGGCAGCCAGGCAGCTGTCCCGGAGCCTGAGCCATGAATGAGCTCAGAGGGGGAAGGAGAGAGGTTTGGATGGGAGAAAACTCTATTTGTTGGGGTTTTTTTTTAAGTGAGAGGCTGACAGTGCTGACTGGATCCAGGCACAGCACGAGCAGGTGCTGTGTGTGCTTTGCCCATCCACAGTTCTCCCTTGGCTGTGTGGATGCACAGACCCCCCTGCAGTCATAGGCAGCTCTGAGCATCTGCCTTATGTCACCCCATTGCTCAGCTCTGGGCACAGCTTGTGCCCACCCCTGGAACTTGCATGCAGTTCTTTCAATGCACTGCAGTGCTGAGCTGTGGCAGCTCTTGGTTCTTTCTCCTCTGATGCCCCACACTGAGGTTTTTAAGCATTATTTCCAGACCCCCAGTTCTGAGCTACAACCTGCTGACAGTCTGCCTTGCATCTCATGCTGCAGATCCTAAATAAGAGCTGCATCTGGAGGTGTTTCTCTTGACTGAGAGAGCCTCTTGGAGCATCCTCCTCTTCTCTGTCCCTTGGTATCAGCTTTTATAACATCTCAAGCTGAGTGCTTTGTAGTATTATGAGGATATTTTTCTGCCATGAACAGGATGGGGGTGAGGTGTTCAGCCCCCGTGCCATGCTGCTGTCCTTGGACAAATCCCTCAAGCTGAAACAGTTTGCAGGGTGTGTGTTCACAGTTGGCTTCAAGTAATACAGATTGAGGCAAGTTTTGATACTGTAATAAGGACACAATTCCTGCCTTGCAGAGCCTAAAAAGCATGATAATGTATTCCTGGTACTCTGCAGGCATGGAAACACCCACCAAAATGGGGTTTGCAAAACGAAACCCACCAGGCTGCTACTTTGGAGCTGGTGTGGTGTGAACTGAGGGCAAGCCACAGAAAGGTGGTGGATTCTCCCCAGGTGCAGAGCCTGGCACAGCACCACAGGCTGCTGCTTTGCAACGACTCATCCTGAAGGTTGCTGTCTCTGTTACCCTGGGCACGTCAGCTCCAAGGCTTTCCTGGAGGGTATTGCAAGTTTCATTTTAAACGCAGTCACCTTGGGATTCTTTGGAGATGTTGATGATGTGTTGCAGGATGATCTCCAGCACACGGTGTGTGAATGGTAGAATGGGCTGAAACCAGAACTCCTGTGAGACTGAGCATGCTGTGAGCTCTAATGCTCGTGAAAATGAGGGGCTGTTATTCTTTCCTCTAGATGTGGGCTGCGTCAGCGTGTCTTCCATACATCTCTGCTGTTTTCCTAGCAAGCCTTGGTTTCTCTGCTCCCTCATACAAGCTATTTGTAATACCGTAGTCCTCTTCAGACATGAGTTTGCCTGATCTGCTGCCTTCTTCTCCATTGGCATCCGGAAAGCTGCCAGCTTTGCTCTGTGCACTGCACCCCACTGTGTGTTCCCATGGCAGCCTTGCTTTGGGGGGGGCACTGGCTGTAAGGGCCAGGCCTGATGCCTTGGTACTGGGTGTGGAAGTGGTTGGGTTTGGGCTGCTCCAGGCATGTTTTCAGGGCTGCTCCATCCTTTGGGAACGCAAGCAAACAGCAAAGTGGGTCAGTGGCAGACACAGAGCCATGGCAGCAATCAGCCACGTGCTGCCCTGCTAACAAGCAACCTTTTATACCTTAATAGTTATTGCAGATGCCAGATCCCTGCTCGTGTCCTTCCAGGCATCTGCTTGGGCAAATGCTGTGCTGTGGTGGGGAGCGGGCCAGGAACCAGCTCCAGTGCTGGAGAGCTTGCCAATAGTTGTGTGCAAATACTTCTCCTGGGGTTGTTGAGATGCCAGTGCCCTGGTGCTCTTCTGACTGTGCTACCAAAAGCAGCTCCAGCCACGAGGCTTTGTGCTGCACCTGTTTGCTGCTCCCTGCTCTGGGGGTGGGATGCTGTTATGGGTGTGCACTGATAGTCTGAATTCTTCAACACCGTGCAGTGGAGTGGTGGTGAGGGCTGTGCTTAAGTTGATGCAGATGGGTGCAAATAGGGTTGCTGGATGAGCCTGCAGTGTTTACTAAAGCAGGGCCAGATGT